CTTCCAACAACTGCTGTAATCTCTCTTCTTGTTTCTTTTGCTGTTCTTGTATTGCTGCCATCAAATCTACTACGTTGTAGTTTGATTTGCCACTTCACGTTTCCATCTTTTTCTTTCCTTTTCCATTCCATTTTCTGACACCGATTTGTTATGTATGTGCTTGTTTGTTTGTTTCCGGTAGAAATTCTTCCCGAGGATCTTCAGCGATACAAGTCCTTTCTTGATTAAACCAGTTTATTCTTCCTCGATACAAACTTTTAGTACACGTAATTTCACGTCACTTTAAACTTAACAACTTTTATAATACACGCTATAAATCATAGCGATTCGCAATCTCGATAACTTTGCTATCGACGAGTGCAAAAACACACACTTTACGGCTCACTAGCTCGAAACTAACAGAATAATAAATTACACGGAACTCAAAGTAACTACTGCTCTCTCTTCATTCATTTATCCCTTGCTGGATTTCTTTCCCAGGCTTATATACTAACGAAGAGGGTAACTCGAACACATTCGGACTTCCCCGATCATTCGAGAAAATCATCACGCACGCTACCAGCGCCAAACGCGCCAGCAGCGTACGTGGCTTCCGCTGTCGTAACAATAGATGTAGGCCTAGCTAATTGAGAGTATTATGCCCAATATATCTTGTTACACATGTCCAGCAAAAATAAAATAATACATTCTATTAGTAAAACACATATCTTTTAAAGTGTTTCGAAATTTGATACCAAACTTTTAAAACAGAAGTGTTACTATTTTTACTTATTCATACTAATAGCATTGTGCATATAGTTTGTAATAAGTTTAAATGTGTGTATGGTATATTATTTGGTTTTGAGAAGGGTAGGTATGAGGCTGTAATTCAGGGTGAATTAGAAAACATAAAGTGAACTAGATTTGTTAAGGTCAACATATTAGTGATGATACCAATGAAATCTCAATGTTTACTTCTTTTTCTTGTCAAGAAAGGATACCGCATTTGTAAAGTAAGAGCTGTTAAAGCTTTCTGCTGAGTTGAATATGAATAAAATTCTTCCCAGTTCAACAAATACTTATAATTAGCCCACAACTGTATAATGGGTTTGTGTAAGTAATTCCTAATAGCCAACAACAACAAAAATACACAAAATGGCTAAAACGTGGCCTATAGCTGTAGAATTGTATCAGCACACCCAATTTTATCTGTGATACAATTTTTCACGTTATGTGTTTCTCTCTCAGAATATCTTTAATAATAATAATCATTCACAATGCCGTCAAAGCAGTTAATATTTTGTAATAGACGATTTTATAGTTGTACGTTTATATACACGTATCTTTGCAGTACTTAGGTCTGTAAAAACTTTGAGCTTAAATTCATACGTTCTTGAAGCTATTACCAGACTATCAAATCACATTTATAACATAGGATATGGTCTATTTGCTTCTTAAAAAGATATTGGCCTACTAAAAAATGTAGCAATAAGTCTGTTTAATCATATATAATCAATTGTCTTTCTTAGTAAAAAAAATAAAACTCGTTGTCTGACAGCTGACACATATGGTTTTGTTTCTAGTTCGATGCTGTGTTCATAACTGTGTTTTAAACTGATCTGACCAAACGGGTGCTCCCCAGTGACACAGCAGTATGTCTGCGGACTTACAACGCTAGAATCCAGGTTTCAATACCCGTGGTGGGCAAAGCACAGATAGCCCATTGTGTAGCTTTGTGCTTTATTACAAACAAACAGACCAAGCGCATGCGCAGTAATGAGTGTACGAGCGACTGTTTCTATTCGAAAACTGCTTGCTGTTTAAGTTGTCGATAGTTCCAAAAGAAGCCGTTAGGCGAAAACTGAGCATTATAGAAGTTTGTATCTGGAGAAAAAAGAAGTGTCAATGTTCACTATATGAAACAAAGGATCACTATAACAATGTATTTATTTGCTGATAGAACAGAACACAGAAAAGAGTCTGCAACGTTTAAAGAAGGTGAAACAATAAGTACAAATACGTTTAATTATTAATATTTATTTTCGGAATTCTAGACCTCAAAGGAGCAGCAAAATTTAGAGACATCTTGAAAGGACACGTTCTGACCTCTGACGGTAGTAAAGCCGTAGTTAAGAAGGCTCTGAATCTCGTCATGGTGGAAGTCAAGTTTCATCAAAGCATGGACAAGTATATTTTGAAACGATGAATACCTTTTCGCCATGTTCACCAATTCTTGAAAATTTAGCCAGACTTTGGTGGAGTCGACTGAACCTTCACTGACGTCAACTTGTATCATCTCGATATCGAAAAACGACGTTGTCATGTTAATCTTCTCAGGAGCTGTATCTTGCATTGTGCTTCTATTTTCTGCACATACAAAAAAGAGCAGCAGGAAACGAAAAGTGACATTACTAAGATTAGGTGGTGTCTAGTGCCGCGTTAAGGCAGTGGTGGGCCCTGGGTGAAGTATAAATTAGTGGCCCCCTGCTTACTCTTGCTTTTAAGAAAATACCATACAATTTGAAAAACTAAATTTATTGGTGATAAAAAAATAAAGAAAAAGAAAATGAAAAAAAAAACCATTAAAAACTGGTTTATTATTTTTTTTATACACTTCACATTATATTAATTATTATTATACTCGCAGCGCGCGTTGGACCCTTGACGGTGGAGACCCCTTTTGTCCATTGGATGAAACGGTTATGTTGGTGACTTTGTGAAGCTTGAATATTGTATTCAATATTAGCAAAAAGATATAGTGTGCTAATGTTTAAATGAAAATTGAAAGACACCAAAATCCCTTTCGTTCTCACTATTTATGAAGGATGAATTTATTTGATTTTGTTACTGTAGTGAGCTTAATTGATTTTTTATTCGTCCGCCCTTCAGATTTTGTCCAAGTTTCTTTATAAGTTCAATTTATTCAGACTTACACATAATAATTTCAAACACTCATTCAAGTAAACACTTCTGAAATCTTTCTTACCTGTGGGAAAAGTAGAAGCCGTTTCAACAAACATAATTATAGTCACGGTAAACTGGATAATAAAAATCGCAACCGTTGGTCTCATTTTGGATTTTTATTCCTGTGAATACAAGTAATTTGTATAAACAGTTTATATCATAGCAGAGAAGTAAGAATGTTTCCAGATATTCCAAATCTTCTCAGATTAGAAATTAACAGGAAGTAATTATTGTTAAACTTCCTTAAATGTTCTTCATTGTTACTAGTAAAATCCATGTAATACTATAATTTCATTTTATTATAATATAAAGTGAATAATAAATGGACATCAATTATGATTTTCATTGGAAAAATAATATGTTCACAATTGTAAATTATATTGATAACCAGTTTTAATTAAACACTTTTTCAGTTGTGTTCTATTACTTTATTTTTCACAGGAGATAAGACCAATATGATGTATGAAAAGTACAGAGTTCGAGAATGCATTAAATTTATCAGAAGTAGAAATGTGTTAGCAGATTTATCAGTAAATTAGCCATAAAATAAGAATAACCTTGTTAAACTTATCTAACGCTACAGTATAAGCTGGTGCTTTAACTCAAGTTAAACAACCTCAACGTTTGTTTATGAGATAAAAAAAAAAATGACTGGAAACCCTGAACAACCTTACAACTTTTTATAACGACAGTAATATAGTATCAACTGTGAACTCTTTCCATCTTATTATCACAAATGTATACGATCTTCGTTGTATGAGCAATACAACCACACTTTACTATCATAGGGATTTAGTTCGGTGATACACTTCAACTCTAAGGGTTAGCTTAATTCCAACGTAAACAAGCGGATTGTATTATGATGCAGTTTGCCACGTGATCTTAACAAGTTTGGAATTTCACGCAAAGCTACACGTGGGCTATTTGCGATATCCATCCCTAATTTAGCAGTGATGTACTAGAGGGAGGGCTGCTAGTCAACACCACCCACCGCCAACTCTTGGGTACTCTTTTACCAGTGAATAGTGAAATTGACCGTTCCATTATAACGCCCACACGGCTGAAAGGGCGAGCATGTTTGGTGAATAGAATTCGAACTCGCGACCTTCATATTGCGAGTCAAACATCCTAACTACCAGGCCAGTCTTAACTAGAAACAGCACTCTTTTTATATACAGTTGTATACATAGTCTGTTTATGTAACCTTTCAAACTACGCATTTTCAACTCTAAGTTATATATCTCATTAAGTTGATAAAAGATAAGCCCATAATTTGAAAAATATTAACTATTCATACGATGGGTCATTCTTCTATGACTCTAGAATTAGTTACAATATTCTTCTGTACTTCTAAATACGTTTTATATTGATTAGATAAACTAACTACGTGGATACACAAACTCACACTTTGTTTGTTATTTAGAAAAAGTCAATTGAAATCCTTTATTTATATATTGAAAAACAATTACAAATAGAAATTCAACATGCTTTTAATTCAATATATCAAATAATGTTGTGTACAGAATGAGCATAAAATTGTGTAAAGCTCAAAATAGGATATCTTAACCTCTTTCAGATTTTAGTGCAAATCTACACAAAGGCTATCTGTTCCGAATTTTTAACTGATACATTAGAGAGAAGGCAGCTAGTTACCAGCATCCATTGCCAAATCTTGGGTTATTCTTGACCGAATAGAGGGATTTTATCATAATTCTTGTAGCACATCTAGGGCCCCAAACTGAGGAACGTGTTTTTGCAACACGAGACGTGAGCTATGAATCCTCGGACTAAGTACGCTGACTATCCTAGATCACATTTTGTCTCTGTAAGTAGAAATCCTGACTGCTTGTAAATAGAATTATATCTTTGGTTTGAGAACGACCTGTTATCACTTAAGGAATATCTTTAATATCCAACGTTTAACTTTCATAGTTTCCTGAATCTATTTCGTTATGTTTGATGCGAGATCAGTTGCATAGCTGTGTCCCTAACGATACGGTAAAAAGTAAAAGCATAGACATTAAAAGTATTTTGTGACTGATAATTGGTCGTTTTCCACGCAGATGTGTTTCTGATCTTAGTGTATACTACACCAACTTCGGACTGTGGATCCGAGGTTGGTTAGCATACTATTTTGAAAAATAAAAATTCGCACTCCGCACTTTGGGGCCATGGCTGCATTATAAGATTGACTGTCAAATCCCACTATTCATTTAGAGTAGCCCAAGTATTGACGGTAGGTAGTGTTGAATAGTTTCCTCGCCTCTAGTCCATCATTTCCAAATTATCAACGGCTAGCGCAAATATCGCCCTAGTAGCTTTGCGCGAAAATCAACAAACAACAACTACGCCAACCATCTTCATTCAAAAGCATTCAACTTTTGCTTGCCTTCGTTGGAATTTATGTATTTCGATCCATGGCTCATTTTACGTATTTTATACTTGTCTGTTATACATATATTTGCATTTTCTGCCAAGTTTGATATTGTGGTGTTTATATCTATGTTTAAACTTAACGTTATTTTTTCTTTCTTTCTTTTCTGGATGCCCAAATATTTGATATTTGTTTTTCTTTTGTGTGTGTGTGTATATATTTATTATGTCTTTGTATCTTTGTAAATCTTTTTCGAATACCTTGATTCTATCCTTCATTTTTCCTTTTGGTTACCAATGGTCTTTTTTTTTTTGTTCGTCTTGCAATTTTTCTTTTCTTTTTCTTCTTTTTAGTTGTTCCATTGCTCACTTTTTCCTTTTTTCTTCTTATCATTGTCAAGTAAGTGTCTACTTCTTCTTATCATCCATTTTTCTTTATCTTGAAAACATTTACACACAAGTTCGATGTATCCCATTGCGCATGTTCTTTCCATAATTTTTGTGAGTCTCAGAACAGGTTAAGCAGGACGTAAGTCACTTGAATTAAGTCTGCTGAATACCAGTCAGATATTAACATAATATATAACAAAAAAAAACATATTACTCATTGTTTTAATAAAGGTTATAGGGCTGTTACTCCTTTCGGCATTGAATTCGCGCCAACAACTATACTTTGCTTTGAATATGTCTCAAGTGGGTTAAAGCTGTGATTCTTATTTGGCAAACCTCGAGTCATCAACTGCATATGTGGGCTTTGAGTTGCAAGACACTCAGAACCTCTGGATTAAAACATCAATCATACAATTCTTAACATAATGGTGTGATACCACAAAACAAGCATGTGACGCCCGTATAGCATGCCGTTTATACATATGCATATATATATATAAGTAATAAAGAAAATTACATAAATTAAGTATGATGTAAGGATAGCAATGTCAAAAAGTACAGAAACAAATTAGCGATGAATAGAAAAGACTACAAAAAATCACTACATCAGCTTAGTTTTTGGTAATTTTTATTACTTGTTTCCTTCTTTTTAAACTTATTTTATTGTAAGTAGGTTGATAAGTAGAACTATTTGTTTATTTTTATAA